ACCAAGTGGATGGAAAAATAAGACACACAAGTATTACATCGAAATGAATTTATGGTGAAATATTTTCGATAACCGTCACATTGTTGTCAGAAGTTGGAAATTATTATTTATGAAGTCGATAAGGTGTTGTCAGATTTTCAAAAAATATCTGATGTCACGTAATACATGACATATGACGTATGACAGATGGTGTTTGCAATATGATGTATGTGGGGAGTGGAAGGATACGAAAACGAAGATAAATAATCTATTTATTTAAGTAATCCTTTTCTACAAAAATGACATGCCTCTTGAGAAGATGGCGGTCCATCCCAGTGTGTGGTCCAATCAGGTCGGTTATAATGAACGAAGCATGGCAGTTTGATTTGTAGGTTAAAGTTGCTGCGATATTCTTGAAGAAGTTTGTGCCACACCCTTAATAGCCCATAAGGATCTGCATATTCAATGATACACTCTACTGGAATATAGTGCAATTCTTGTTCGGTGAATTTTAGCAGAGTGGTAGCAGGAGATTTCAGGAACTCTAAGAGCACAGCTATTTCAGATTTATAACAGAGTGTCTCAATACTGGAGAGTGGATTGCTTTCAATATCAATAGAACGTGGGAGAGTTTTAAAGAGTGAAAATTTCGCTATAATCGACACCAAGCATTGTGTGTCGAGAAATGCGGGAAATTCTTGAATAAAACTAATCTATACCACCATATGAGGAATGCCCATAGAGTGGACGCCACCAATTCGAATAACCTAGCTGATTAGCGGATGGCAGTTAACGGATTCAGAAGTCTTCAGATCACACCTATAGAAGTATTCAGAGGTTTTCGGAGGTCTTCAGATCACGCCTTCAGATGTCTTCAGAGGTATTCAGAGGTATTCAGAGGTCTTCAGATCACGCCTTCAGAGGTATTCAGATGTCTTCAGAGGTATTCAGATGTCTTCAGAGGTATTCAGATGTCTTCAGAGGTATTCAAGAGTCTTGCATATCAGACACCATAGCGTTCACATCATGGAGCCACATTCATCAGAGCAAGCATTAGATAAATATCACTGTGCAGATTATGATAATGCTTATGGACCGAAATATGTTGACGGCAGATGGACACTTGGACATAAGAATCTACGCTTTGAGGACCAATACATAGGCGTAGATAATGTCGATTTTAAAAGTACTCTGGGTCTTTTGGAATTATTATTTTCCAAGAACCCTCGAAATTACACGCCTCTGGATCACCAGATGTATAAACAGATACTGGAAATCAGCTCTATTCATAGAGATCGATTAGGGCGATTACGAGGACAAGCTGATAAGGAGAAATTCGATAAAATTATCAGACCCCTCTTCAAAAATAAGACCAAGCCTAAACGTCCAAAGTCGAGCGTGGAGTCTGAAGCCAGTATTGGGAATGAGAAGTACAATATTTTAGATGAATGGACTGATCCGAATATCTTGGTGGATAGACTGAGATATTTAATGGAATCAGATAAGAACAACGATGAGATTGCCTTTATTCTTACTGAACTTGAAGATGTTGGTATAATATCTAAAAAATAAATGATGTCAAATTATCCGTTTTTTATTCAACACCTGCTAGGCGAGTAGACTCACAATGACTACTCAACTTGGCATACAAAAATATATATTTAAAAACCCTGTATAATGACTGGTAGGTAGTGTAATGAAATCATAAACTTGGTTGACTTGCTGACTGTCTTTGGTCGACTGTCATTTTTCCGATGATAATCACTCTAAGAGTCACAAAAATGAAAAACGAAGTAGCAAAATTTCTTGCTGACCCACCCTGTATAGCAGAAATATTTTTTAGTGTGGGATATTGAATATTAGGTCTAGGACTAAAAACAGCTCTTGTTTCAGCTTGAACAGCTGTTTTTTGTGTGATTTCGATAGTTCCTTGTATCTCATATGGAACGATAAGAGAATCAATAATAATAGGATTATTTTCTTTATTATCCGTTAATTTTAGTCTATAACTCAGCTGATTTAATCATCTTTCTAGGCTTTGAAAGAATATGATTTTCTGTATACGCCAAATATAGAACAACCAAGATAACGGCATCCTGTTTGAACGCTCCAACTTGAACAGCTGTTTGATTTCGGTAGTTCGTTGATTTCGTGAAAAGACGATAAGAGAACCCGTGTATGTCTTTTATACCAACTCGTTAATTGTTGTCTATAGCTCATCTATTGTAAGAGTATCAGATTTTGAAATATTCGGCGGATTCAGTGGCAGATAAAATGCATAACAATGATTGAATATAATATGCACACATGAAGATAAGCCTCTCAATGTATAGGGTGAATCAGTCAGTATAGTCGGACAGTGGACTGAGTTTTACAAAAGAATCATATTATGTGATGCATGAAAGAAATGCTCAATAGATCATATTATCAATAAGCCAAAAAGAAGCAACAAGTTGTGTTCTTCTTTGCCAGTAGTCGGACACTTGTCTTTTATCGTGCAGAGTGAATGAAAGCACTCAAGTATGCTGCATAAGTTAAATCATACGAGCATTCTGTGTGAGTTATATACTACGCGTTTTCTATGACTACAGCAAAACTCTTCAGCTTGCTGATTTTCTCACAACTAATAGTTTGTCATTTTCATGAAATACGATATTGGAACATGATGTATGTTTATGTGGCAATTTTTGTAGAAAAATCAATTTATATCATACCTAACTAGAATACATTGGGCTGATAATTGAATAGGGTGTTCTCCTTGGAAAAAACACCTAAAATTCAATCAAAACTGTATTCGTACTTATTCCTATACCAAAGCCGGCGGCTAATTTCATCGATAACAAATTGGAATGATTATACTAAATATTCCTCAATAAGATTACCAAAGAACCTGCTTAACTTCATGAACCATGTAATAAACGACAAAATTCAAATATATCTCTTCAGCATATTCATTGCTGAATTTATTTGCTATACCAGCCGATAGATGGCGGTACAACTACGTTGCTAAGAGTTACTAACAGCCGTCGGCCGAGCGCCAACAAATATGAGCCTCAAACAACTGTTATCATCTTCCATTGGCTATTGCACTGCACCGAACTTATATATTTTCGGATTCGAATTGTTAGCTTATATCTGCAAATAGGTCGGTCATTCTCAGGATTTCAGAATGAAAATAATTCATACCATGTCATCCATCACTGTCATCAAATAAAAAACATCCTGAAAGTTTCTTCAAGATGTTCCATATCAAGTACCCTGAATGTCTCTGGTACATCCCGTATCATCCCACAAATATTCTGATGGGATGTTTATAAGACATCGCAAATGCTGACAAGAATGACCCAAGGAAAATAGGGATTTTCCAGAGTTGTTCCTATCATCCCATATGGATGGTTCTACGACGTCTTACTGATGTTATTGTGTTATTAGGGCATGCGCATGGTGAGCGATGCCACACTCACTAATTCTTGGAAAACATCTGAACAAAACGACTAAGTTCATCATAGGAAGTGTTTCCAAGATCTGCAAATGCGAAATCTCTGAAATTTTCTGTGTATCATTGGGATGGGTAGTGAGTGTAAGAGAGAGTGAGAAGGTAAAAAAGTGAGAAGAAGAGAGAGAGAGAGAGAGAGAGAGAGAGATTGGATGGATATTAGTTGAAGGTATGGATGTAAAAAACAGTTGTATCATGTCTTCTGACGAATACAGACGTGCACTAGAAGAATTTGGGTTGAAAGTTAGAAAGCTCAGTGCAGACATCCAATTGTATGAGCAGAAAGTTTGTTTGTTCAAAGATTTCGAGCAATTGAGTGTTTGGGACAAGGTGTTCACAGAACCAAGACGTTCAGTTGCAACGTTTCCTACATCGAGAAGAATCCAACCAACACAGCTACTAGATGGCGATACTAAAAGCAAGCTTCATTCTATTGACAGCTCTGAGCAACAACGTCTTTTACACAAACATACCGTACAATACGAGGAATGCAGCCGTATGTTTTGATGTGAATCGTACACAACAGTGTGATTGGAAGCTGATGCGTAGAATGTATGTCAATGATAACAAACTACCTGTATTTTCAATCGACATGCCTCGAGTCAATGGGACCACCATCGACTACAAATTGAAATTATCGTTTTCTGATGGCAGTGACGGCGAAATGGGAGACTGGCAGACATTTACATTGAAGAAATCACCCGCAAAATTAGATGATGATCAAGATTCTGTCAATATCATTGCAATTTTGACACTTTGTTGTACACTAATATGTTCACTCATTTTAATCTCACATGTTATTTTCATTATACTGAGAAATAAGGGATGTGATGAATAAAAACTCTGAAATTACGATATATAGTTTTTTATTTTGGCAATAAATTACATAACCATTTATATAAAGTATCGACATTGTGGAGACTGCACTGGAACCTTCCTCCATGGAAATGATTCATGCAAGGTGGAATGGATTGTTGAAACGTTATTGGTTGCCACCAAGAATTGTCAAAATCTTCCAAATTAACAATGTGATTGGTCATCTCCAACTCTGCACATTTTCGCTGTAAAAACTGAATCTTTTGATGGCCTCTTACGTAGATGATGTTTGTCTGCTGCAGGTTATCTCGTAGTATTTGATCCAACTCATTCAAATCCACATAACCACTGGAATATTTTAAACCATGAACGTAACGCTCCACATGATTTGCCATCTTTTTATCTTCTCTGCTTAAACTCGAAAATTCTACAGATGGCTTGAATAGAAAATGACTCGTCTTTTTGCCAATGCGAATGGTCATTTCCTTTGGAATGAATTCACCATCAACCATGAACCCTTGAATGTCAACCAGTGCGATCTCCATGGCTCTTCGAAGCAAACTGACGTCTGACTGATGCAGCAACACCCACCTAGGCAATATTTCGAACAATTTTGCTGAGTGGGAGATGTTCCATGATTTGATCGTGAATGATGATGCAATAGGCTTTGGTGTCGGGAGGGAAGCCTGTAGTCGCTTCAATGTCCAACTTTATGTCAACTGTGGACGACTTTAGACCCAGATGGCGCCTCGAGCAATCGATAACAAACATTGGTCGGGATTTGAATTCGGCAAAGTTTACTAGAGAGCGCTTTTCTTGACAGTTATGGTAGCTCTTGTTGAACTCTGTATAGTTGAAGTGAGCGTCAGCATATTGGTCTCGGGAAAAGTCCAATAGCATTCGTTCTTGCGGATAATAGTCGCTATTCAGAGCCAATCGTATGGATTTGATGTTGGCATTATCGAACAAGGTGACGTCTTCATGCAAATTATCGGCTTTTTTCGTTTGGAAAAATACTATAACATATCTTGGACTGTCCAATGCAGAACATGTCTTGACGGACCAGATTTCTATGGTAGATCCTTGTGTGAGTGCTGGTAGCTCGTGCAATTCCCATCGGCGAAACGGTATCATCATAGACTCATCTGCTTTGATACGTGTCAACAACTGCAACTTTATGTCATCGTTGGGTGTGAGATGTGGCACTTTCAAATTGATGCTTTCTATCGTTATTTTAGCAATATTCTGAGTCTGAGGAGATCCTGGCAAAGCAGTATTCGCTCTCTCGACAACCTTCACACTGTTGGCATCATTGCGAGCTCTCACTAAACGGATTGACTGCTTGCCCCACGTTGCCACTTGATGATCATTGAAGATGGAAAACAAATGTTTCAGTGGAATGTTCATGCTAAAGGTACCATCGGTGTTGAGCATCGGAGCATTGGGATAGTTCCAGCCTGCTATGGCTAGATGACGTGAGTCTTCAGGCGTATAACACAAGTATCCTCGCACAGTACTCGTTATTCCAGGATATCTGACAGTGTCCAATTCTTTATTACATAATTCATAGGTGCAGGAATCAAAGAGATAAGCTCCAGCATTGTGGGTTAATGTACCAGTACCACCACCGGTCACCTTCAATTTACCCTTGATGGTAATGATGCCTTCAAACATGGCCAACCACGAATCTGCTTGATTAACCGTTATATCGATGACATCATTGTTCTCGAATGATTTCACATATGGATAATAGGTACGCCATTCCACTTTAGTGATGCTTTCGTCGAATCTGGGTTTGCGGAAAACGTCGAACACGGGTGCTAACAACATTGTAGTCTTTGAGTGATTTCAGAAACAGGACACTGGATAATGTCAATGTTTTTCTGTTGCTGCTGCTCTTCGAAGACACGACTGCTTTGGTGTACGGTGTCGAGAGAACTGGTGCTGATGATGTTGCTGATGATGGTATATTATCTGATTTATAGGAGTAATCAAACACTAGTACCATCTTGCGAGTTTCTTCAATTCCAATCTAATTATGATTTCTTCACCTCTAAAATTCACCTGCCTGAAATCTTGGTCTAGAATCTGGAGTGTAATGTTGGGCAATTCCCGCCTGCTGACTATAGGTAGATAGATTAGATTTCTGGGAGTCTCGTCTATGGCGTAACCAGGATCGACTGCAACTGCAAACTCGTAGATCGTATGTGATGGTCTGTCGTTGTAGAGAGCTCCAGCAGTAACGTTGCTATCAATGTGAATGGTTCTCACTTTGGTTATGCTGACCGGCAAATCGGAAGTGTGGACTTGTTGTGCGTTCAACAATCTATTTGAAAATCCCAAGACTTGAGCTATGCTATCCTTCGGGCGAAAATCAATGGCAAACTGTTTGCTCGAAATCTCACACTTTAGTGTATTATTGTTGGGCTTCAACGAGAATATATCATCAACGTCCTTTGCACTTGAGATGCCCAATTCTTTGCGTATGAATTTCTCAATGTCCACAATGTCGTATGAACCTTGGGGAATATTGATGATCTTTCCCGCCTTGGTCTTATCTTGCAGATAAAACTTTGATCCTTTGTCGATATTCGGTATACTGTTGTATGAATGGAATCTCAACAATGCTAGTCCGTAATCAGAGTCTGGATCGAGTTGGAGTGGTGTCAAAAAGTCTATGGAGAGCGTAGATGTACGACCTTTCAACGTCACAATCAGAGACATGACTGATGCACAATGACCGAGTTACTTGGTCTCATTAAAAAGGAATTCTAAACATAGACGTCCACAATTACTTTGATTGAAATTCTGGTATTGATTGTTATTGTACAAGATTTTCGTGCTGGCACCCAAATATTGCGCCAATTCTCTGGGCGGTTTCAGATTGCCATAACTATCGAAATATAAGGCTTTTTTATCATTTTTTATGTAAGCCACCCAATGAGTGCCCGCATGATTGGAGGTATCCAAATTCAATACAGCACACTCGCGATGCCATGGACCGGTGGAAGGTAGAGTGTCCCGCATAAAAACACCTCGAAAATATGGTATTTTCAGCTGTTTGGCATACTTCATCACATCTTTATCGTACATTGATTTATTGGGTAGCTTGTCTAGAAGTTTTTTGAGTTTTTTGATTGTTTCTTCAAGTACAGTCCGAATCCTCTCGATGTTTTGCGTAGAAATAGGCCGGAACCCTGCTTGCCGATAGCCTCCATTGCTTTATTATGTCTTTGATCTTCTTCGAGCTTTTTCTTTGCATTTTTCGCATCAATGACTGTCTTTGCGACTGCTCCGGCTCCTCCAGCTAGAGATCCTAGGGCTCCCAAGGCGGCAAAGATTGGTATCAATGGTAGTATACCGCCACTGTGTGGAAGAGGTATGATTCTTGGTACTCTGATTCTTTTTTTACCGCCAGCCCTCTTGATTGCCATTCTGGCTGCACGGAGTGCTTTCAATGCAGATTTATTCAGACCACTTCCTGATGTTGTACTACCACCACCACCACCACCACCATCTGACTTTGATAGTACATTTTTTATGAATTTGATAATGTTGGATAGGGATTGCTGTGATACAAGACCCATGCCGAGTTTTCGTTTGACCTTCATTCCGGTGGTGACAAGCCAAGCAGCAGCCTTCTCTTTGAATTTAGCGTTCTTCGACTTGACTCTCTCCCACGCTCTATTTTCCAATATCCAATCAGCTTTGTGTCTGTCTTCTATTGAGGAATTTTGTGAATAGGCGATATCGTGTTCTCGACACGCGTCGTCCAACGGATTGATACCGGTGTCTCCTCTTGCAAGTCTTTTATCGAGTTTGGTACCTGGACCACAAAATCTGTAGCCTGGAATGTGTAATTCGATGGGAAGTTTATCGATCAGAGAATTAAGCACACCCTCTCCGTGGTAGAGCAACATGAAGACTGATGTGTAGGAAGTTCGACAACTCTGCATATACCTAATGAAATGAAAAATATATCATCACATGATGAAGATCATTCAACAAGAACGGATGTTACCCATTGTGAATTTGGATGAAATTTTGTCAACCAAACCACCAGTAAATAGTAAACATGGGAAACTGCTTCCCCATTCGTTCAGAGCAATCTTCTGCGGACCAAGCGGATGTGGAAAGACCAATGCGATGCTTTCCCTGCTGTTCAATCCAAATGGCGCGAAATTCAAGAACGTTTACGTGTATTCAAAGTCGTTGTACCAACCGAAATATCAATTGCTGCAACAAGTGTTGGATTCAGTGAAAGGTGTTGGGTATTTTCCCTTTAAAGAAAATGATGATGTCATCAGTCCATCAGAAGCGAAAAATCATTCGATATTCATTTTTGACGATGTATCCTGCGACAAACAACAAAAAATTCGAGAATATTTTTCAATGTGTAGACACAAGGATATTGACGTAGCATACCTATGCCAGACTTTTTCTAAGATACCGAAGCAGCTGGTGCGAGACAACAGTAACCTGTTGGTGTTATTTCGACAGGATGAAATGAATTTGAAGCATGTGTTCGACGAGCATGTCTCACCAGACATGTCATTCGATCAATTTAAAGCATTGTGCTCAGAGTGTTGGAATTCCAACCAATATGGTGCGATGGTGATTGCAAAAACTTTCGATATAAATGCTGGCAGATATAGAAATGGTTTCGATAAGTTCATAAGACTGTGATCTCTGGACCATTCATCAAGATGACGTCAACCAAGATGCATGATGATGTTGCTGATGCGCTGCGCAAGAAAAAAATCAACGAACTATCGAAATCAATCAGAAGAAAATATTTAGCACTAAAATTGGGCGAGTCTGAGGATGATGATGCGTTACAGAAAATATTCCAACCACTGACATCACCTTTGAAACAAATTGCTTCCGCGTCCAAGGTCATAGAAGAAAAACTCGATGGAACACTTTCAAACATCAAGCGAAGCAGAGCAAAGTCGTTGGGCTTGAAGAAGGAGAAGAAGGAGGAAGAGGATGGGGAGGTTGAGAGGGAGCAATCGGATTTGAATCAAACTAATTTCATACCTATGATGGATGTGGCTGATAATGCTGGGCATACTGAAGATGATGATGAGGATGGTTATGACGATGCTGATGATGAACTTTTTGTAGATAGTGAAAATATCTCACCGGCTGCAATACATGATTACGTTGATCAGTATCCTGCGATGGCTCAAAAATATCTGACTGAATACTGGACAAATGATGAAAATATCGATACGGTTTATGGTCCCAAATATGATCCAGTAACATCGAAATGGTCTCTCAACGGAAAAGAAATGAATTTCCATCGAAGAACTGGAGATATACTTCTTGATGGCTTTCGGTTCCGTGGCACCCCAGGCCTCTATCAATTACTCTTCTATAATGATCCATCCTTTGCCAAAGATGATACGAACCCATACAAGCAAATACTCTTGCTCACCAAAGCTCATCTGAATTCTGCAGGACGTATGAAGTCCTCCTCTAGACTCAAATACGTAGAAATTATTCGTCCAATGTTCAGATCCAATTCCAGTGTTCGTGGTTTGAAGTTGACATACAGCACAGCACCTATCGAGTACATGTATTGGGATGATCCAAACGAATTGGTAGATAGATTGAAGTTACTCATTGCATCACAGCAAGCCGGAAATACATCAAACGATAACGAGATTGTTGCCATCTTGAACGAATTGGAAGAGGCAGGCATAATAAAACATGTGTAACATTTCTGTGATACTTCCGTGACACTTCCATGACAACTTCCGTGACAGTTCCGTGACACTTCCTTGACACTTCCGTGACAGTTCCGTGACACTTCCTTGACACTTCCGTGACAGTTCCGTGACACTTCCTTGACAGTTCCGTGACACTTCCTTGACAGTTCCGTGACACGTCCATGGCATGTCTATGTGTGACGGGGCTAATTGGCGAGGCAAAGTGCCGACCATTATCGATAACGTACAAAACTTTAGTCATTAGCATAATGAGTCTCGACAAATTCGGACGTGGTTCGTTTCCACGCTCAGCTCAGATGGTGACAGTCAGATCTGGATTTTCACATACTCCAACCGGAGATATTGATGTTGGTCATTTGAAGATGTGTAACGTAAAACTGCCAACAGATGCCGCTGATGTTGCAAACAAACAATATGTGGATGAAGTTATATCGCAAATAAAGTTAGATTTCAAGATTGCTTTCGATAATTACGGTGAAAAAATCCGAAATTACCTTGCTGGCTTCAGCAATGAAATAATCAAAGAAAGGAAGAGAGTGGATGTACATGATCTTAAAC